ATCCAGCTGTTTATTAAGCCTGTACTCCAACACTGTTGAACTTCAGCATAGCATAGGTGAGACATTTTTAATACCTTTTTTAGCAATCTCTTTTAAAGACCGTCTGAGGGTGGAAAAAAATTTGTTTTTCTTTTTTAGCAAAATTATTTAAAATGCTTTAAATTTATATAATTAAGGAAGAAATATGTACCATATTTTTTGTGATTTCAGGGAAACAGAGGCCTAATACAAATAAATTAAAATTGTTTTTTCCCGAAAGTCACATTTTTTTAGCAAAAGGTGCACTAAGTGGTCAAAAACAAAATTTTATTTTTACTCAAAATCACCATTGCTGGCAGTCGGAGGGTTCACTAAACAAGGTATAAAAAAGTCTCACTATAGCTTGCATTCAGTTATTGTATAAAATTTCACTATTTCCACATCTGTTGGTTCTTACTTTGGTACTTCTTTAAGCCCTACTCTGACTAAGCATTCCAACCATACTATAATGTGACACAAACTGAAATACAGAAATACTCACCATTCCCACAACGTGTAAATGTTTAAACTTGGTAGCCTCTTGCATGCTGACTTTTCCTAGAAAGAAAATCGTAAAGTTTTATGGTGCCTCATAATGCACTGTTAATCCAAGTTTCAATTAAAAAGGGTATTACATTGATATAATGTCATGCTGTCTTGATGTATACTGACATACCTGGTTATTTCTTTTAAAACTTTTTTACACCATATTTGGAATATGGTTCTCGAGGAAATGGCAATCCATTAAGTTCTTCCACTCTCCATTCTTAACTTGCTGTCAGTTGGCCAATTGTTTCCTTTTTTTGGGTGTTTTTGTATTTTCTTTATTTTGTATGTTTGATGGTTTAGATGAAGTAAAGCTCAGACCATCAAATTATATCTGATAAAATCTTTTCTTTTCTTCCATTCTAGCACAGACCTCCTATTGGTGTATTTTCGTACTGGGTAAGGGCGGGGTGTAAACCCATACTCGTCTCGAAAGATGTACTGGGTTCTTTATAGTACACATGAGCCAATTGTGTACACTGGGCCTATGGTTTATAGTCCTTATACGAGAAGACTGGCTCACATCCAGAGCCAAAGGCGAGCGTGCCTTTCAAACCAGTGCTGATATTATGGCTTTCGGTTTCGGGCCCCTGCCTTAACATCTCGACCATTCAACTCAAAAACATGTGATATGTCTATATATCGTAATGACATCACAACATGACCACGTATATAATTGAATCAAGTATTAAAACAACTGTTGTCTATTTTTGCATTCAGACCTCCGATCTAAAAGCTAATAGATTTATATTTTAAAATTTGATATAATTAGATTTGTATTTGTTATTCTGATGACGTTCTTGCATCAGGAGATTAATAAGGCCAAAAAAAAATGTTTGTGTTGGCCACGTTTTGAGAAAATCCAATAAATGTGTAGGTCGGTAGGGAAACTTTTTTTTTTTTTAACTAAAAATGTTGAAAATACACAAATAATACAACAATTTTGGATTCGCATCGCATACCATGCACCAAAAAAGGCTAGGCCTTGGGCCCCCTAGCCTAGTCCAAGGCTGTTCCAGCCTTATTAGCTCATGAAAAAAACAATATTGTTCCTTGTTGTAGTCAAAAAAAAAACAACTAAAATGCCGATCCTGAATTTGGCCTAATAGGAGTGATGTTTTTGCCCTACCTGACGTGTTATCATACCGAATGCTCAGTACATTCCTAAATACTTGCAAAAAAATACCTTGCAAGTGATTCAGAGGTTAATTGAGACCATGACCTTGATAAATTATTTATTCAATGCTACATTTCAATACTCTACCTTCTTGTACAAGCTCTTGAAGGAAACCAAACCATTCACGTCGGAAAAGGTTTGCACCAGTGAGACTACCATCTCCACCAATCACAACCAGGCTGTCAATACCTTTCTGGATCAGGTTGAATGCTGCTTTCTTTCGACCCTCCCTTTCTCGAAAGTCTTTACACCTTGCACTTCCAATCACTGTTCCACCCTAGAAAATATAAATATTAAATAATATAATAAGTTTATTAAAAGTTTTAAGTAAATAAACTGCGCACCCTCTAATCCTCGAGATCCCCTCTATTCCGAGACCCCTCTTATTCAAGACCACTTTTCCAAAGACCCAAATACCGATCTTCAACCTTCTAACATAAAGCTAGCCCTCTAATTGGAGACCAACCCCGAGACCGCCCCAAATTTTCAGGTTCCAAGGGTGGTCTCGAATAGGAATGCGAACTGTAGTACCTGACCAAATATAAACTTAGAAAAAAAGGTAACAGGTTACACAGTTTCTAACTAACTGTATTTTACTGAGAAACATACATACATGGAACTATAAAATAAGAATATTCTTATTGAAATATGCATGGATGGAATTGACAAATAATGTAAACAATTGCTTTACAAACAATCCAATCATAATAATGAATAAGTGTAACCACAGTGGTTGGCACAGCAGCTTGTGAATGAAGCTCACAACTTTTGTAGTCGTGGGTTTGAATCACTTGCTCTGCATTTTGCTTGTGTCCTTAGGCAAGACACTTTACTTATGTCTGTTTCTCTCCAACCAGTAAGCATTTGATAGAACAAAAAATTGTTGAATGTCACTATTGCTGTGTGCATGTCAAATATGTCATTTCACAAATCAACAGCTGGGAAAGGATCATTTTAATGCTATGAGAATGGACCTTATTTGCTTAAAGGATCAATTTTACATATGATAATCAATTTTAAATAATGATCGATTTTGCATTCTAAAACTGGTACTGATGCAAATAGCTGTTTTTTCCCCCAAGATATCTGGCAGACATTGTCTTGAGATTGTCATTAGTAGGACACTGCTTTTAAAACTATATAATATAAGGATGGAAATATATGATTATATTTCAACAGAAACTGGAGAATGAACTTGGCATATATGTCCTTACTAAAGATTTCAAAATCAGAATAACTACATAAACTCAGTTTAGGCTCACCCAAGTATTCATGTGAGGCTAAGTTAAGAACTGCAATTCTGCTTTCTTTTGTCCTCTTCCTGTTTAAATCCTGTTCCCCTCCCCAGTATTTATAAACATTATATCTACCCTTGATGTTATATTTTCCTTTACTCTTCTCTCGACAATAGTCTATTTCATACTCACAAGCTGCATGATATTAGACACCCCATTCCAGGCCGTCTCTACAATGCAATCTCCTCCATCGACCATACCTTGGTAACCCTGTTCAAAAATTAACAAAGAATTAGGTCTCAAATTTATTTACTGTATATTTATCACAACAATACAAAACAATACGTTTATATTGTAGAAATAAGAGACATCAGTGGTGGTAGATAAATCCATATTTAGTTAGAACTGTTTACCAAGTACAATAATTAGCATAATTTTTAGTTTATATTTTGGCTTAAAGGAAAAAGACCATGCATGATTTTTATTGTAGTGTTAGTAGGGATACTTGCTTTTACATATTTTTACTATTATTTATTCTTACCTCGTGTATACAGTACACCTTGAAGCCAACATAAATGCCCATTCGAACAACAGACCTCACAGCAGCATTCATACCTAATAGCATAAACAACAGATGTGCTAAGTAGTAGAAATTGTTGGTACCCTATACTCTTTTCTTTACCTTCTTTAGGCACACAACACATGCACCAAGGATTGTGCCCATTACAAGTTTCGTAAGGATGAATTCTGTAAATTGTCAATAGGGAATATATCACTGTCCTCTTGTGACAATACCTTTCACAAAACCAACATAACACATGATGCATTACACATTGAACTAAACCTCAATATGAGGTTTAGGGAGTGGAGTTGTTTTAGTTGAAAAAAATCCTGCAACACTGACAGGAATTGAACCCAGACCCTGGGATTGGGAGCACTCCAGCTCTATTCGTTGACTGTACAGGGGAGTGATGCAGCGAGTAAAACATCTATTTGAAACGTTGACATCTCAACACATAAGTTTTACGCAAAACACTGTTATTAATAGTCTTGGTAAGTATAGATTTCCTTTTATATTACATGCAGAATTCTAGGCCTAATATATTTTCCTTGCATATTTTCTGCTTCTTTCTGGCTGTCTTGCCAATTAATCAAAAAGATAGCAATACACAAAAGGAAGTGGATATATTTATCGATTCTGGTTGCATAGGTGGATTCAAGGGGGTGCCCAGCCAGCCCGGGCTTCCCTAATTTATCAAAGTTTATTTTTAAAAATTAAGAAAAAAGAAAATTTGACTAAATTTTGAGTCTAGGAGTGCCATTTCCGGCCATCAAGAGGTGCCACAATCATAAATTTTCTTACATTAGCCCAACCATGGTCGGCTGAGGTAGTACAGACCCCTCCACCTGTGAAAGTCCCTTTCTGGGCCCCCTCTATTTCAATTTCTGGATCCGCCACTGGGTTACATCCATGTACGTTAATTGAGTTCAACCAAAGAATATACTCGGCTTTCAGCACTCGAAATTAGCGTCGGCCCAATTAAATCATTATGTCTATGTCTAATTTGTTGTACAATAGTCAATCATCACAAAGTAAGTAACATTTTAATGATTTCATTCAAGCACATTTACCGCTATTGTCACTAACAAAAACAACATCGTTATATATAGTCTTTATTTAGTTGGGTCGAGCGTCAAGCCCCGATCGAGTGCAAACAAAAACAACAGAGTCTATTTAATGATTGAAATACATATTACTGTAGCAAATTTAATTTGTTTAATAAGCACGGTAAAATTATTATTAAAATACCTATTTACGAACGTCAAACCTCCCTGTTGTAAATTGTTTACAAAAATTTGATCAACCAATTCGGGGTTTCCCCATGTCCGTTGAATTGCCATCGATTCAATCGTGCGTTGTTCAATAATGGCTTATTAAAGAGTAGAAACTCCTTAGTTTTTACAAAAATTTGTTTGGTCAAGTATTTTAACATGACTGTAAACACTTACAGTACACATCTGGGGAAGATTTGATTTTTGTACACCGTGGATTCATGGTACAATACATTCATAAATTTAACTTGCCAAAAAAAGAGCCGCAGCAAATATCAGTGCCGTTTTTCAGCTTGAGCACTGCGGCTTGGCCAATGCTATTTTCGAGTCTTTTGAGAACATTTTCCAGAAAAAATTAATGTGATACGACCCTCCGTTATGGAGTTATGAATTTTTTGATAACATGAGGACAAAAATTCAGCCTCAAAGCTTATCTTATTTCTGTTGGTTACGCACCACTGACTTGGTTGGGTTGTTTTTTGTCATCACTTCAGAATGTCTACCGATTCGTGGAAAAGGCGTAGGGGCCTAGGCCTATATATATGGGGAGCTAGGTCTTGGTTAGGTCTGCCTATATTACTTTAGAAGACCCATGTCATGTTGATGTGACTCTTTGCTTGCAATGCAAGATACCGACCGATGATATGCGCGGGAAATCCATATGCGCCTACGGCCTAGGCCCTGGGTCCTACATCGTACTTGTTCTGGATACGAACCTTGCGAATCTCCTCCACTTGTAAACACAGCCAAAGACCGGCCGGTGCCGACCATACCAAATCCCTGACCGTCGGCTACGAACTTTGATACTGAATCGGACGTATCTTCTGAGCTCGTTCTCTGCATTGGAGACATCTCTAACCTTCGTTTAAGAGAATTCTCCATATCTTACTTTCAATTTTAATCAGTTTGTACGAATATAACAATCTCGTCCAGATATCATCAAAGCGCCTAGGCTAGGTTAGTAGGCTAGGTAGGTACCAACCTTGCATGCCGATACCTGGAGAAATAAAGCTATGAGAAGCAGACGAGCATAAATCATTTTATAAATTAAAATACTTTACTCCAAGTATTATTATAACCTATTAAATTAAAACTATGTATTGAATTATTTCTTAAATATACTAAAATATGTGTATATAAATACATTTCCAAAAATTAAATCTTAACATAGTACTTTAACATAATACTTTTATTACCAAGGAGCGCACCATAGAAAGAGCAAGCTTGCTGGGTATTGAACGTTGGAGGCAGCAACCCGGCCACACGATTTCAACAACTTCACTCAAATAGGTAGGCCTAGATATACAAAACAAATTAATGACAACATTAACCTACTAAAAATAATAAATAGATAAATAAATAATCATTAAAAATAAAAATAAGCCTACAGTAACATTTTGAATTCTTCACTCAAATAGGTAGCCCTAGATATATATAACAACCATTAAATAATAAATACCGTATACAAATTCATAACGAGCATTAACCTACTAAAATAATAAATAAATAATAGTTACTTTTAAAGATTTTTTTTTCAAATACTGTAAAGCCCCTCCATTGGGACACCTCTTGAGGGGACACCCCTATTATTGGGACGGGGACACCCCTATTAATGGGACGGGGACAATTTACGTATGTGCCACTGGTCAAATCAGCTTTCATATATGATTCTAATCAACAACAACAACAACAACTTTCCTTCATTGGCAATGTTTTCATTTGATGTTTCTGAAGTGGTTGCCAAGAGAATTTGAATAAATAAATAATAAATAAATAAAAACACCCCTATTAAGAGGACACATTTGTTGGTCCCGAAGATGTCTATTGAATAGGGGTTCTACTGTATGACATTTTATACTAAAAAATAACTAATGACTGTTAATCAACAATTTATAGAGATAATACAGATTAACAAAAATGAATATTTAATAAAACTACATGTTTTAAGGGTTGAAAACCAACTAGCCATCCTTAACGCATTAATGTGAATTAAAATTAAGTATAAAGAGAAGTGAAGCATCAGAGATGGCTCGTACAGAAGAAGTGTATAATTACAGCCTTTAACAGTTTATAAAGCAAGTACCGTAGAATCTTGAATTGCAGCTTGGGCTTTTGTTTTTCTTTTTTTTGTGAACTTTTGATGGGCTTCTTATTGAGATGGGCTTTTTCTCGAGGTCAATTTTGCAAAGTGAAGAGGGGGATTCTTTTCAAAATGAATGCTGTAAATTTAGGGAATTACTACTACAAAACAATAAATACGGCCACTGTAACATCATTCTGTATCATAAATCACCTAAACTATTGTATAAACCAAAGCTTGTTTTTAATTTATTTTGTTTCTTTGGTATTCATGTACAGCGAAAAAAAAAGCCCATGCTATCTTGAAAAGAAGCCCGTGGTCTTTTTTTCGAGGTTACTTTTGCAAACTAAAGAGGGGCTTCAATTCGAGATGGGCTTCTTCTGGAGATTAAGCCCATTGGGCTTCTATTCGAGGTTTTACGGAATATGGACAGGAACAAACAAGATATCTAAAGATCGAAGTTCCTTTAAAAAAAATATATCAACCCTGAAAAAGAATATCAACCCTGAAATAATTTACTTTAAATCATAAAAGGAATTGTAATTGCAAAAGCTAATTTACTTCTGGTTCAGGTCTGAACCCAGGCCCGTATTTAGAGGGGGGTTCGGTGTTTCGTCCGAACCCCCCGCGGGAGATGGAGTTCCGTGAAAATTAGGAAGATTTTTTCATTGCCGTTTTATTCTGTAGGTCTACAAAGGAGGGCTAAAACAAAAATAGTACATACATGTAGTTGGGATCGCAGGCCAACTATTTAAAATGAATCTTGGAGAATTTGATTGAGTTTACTAATAAAAGTTACTATTATGATAAAATCGAAAAAATTATGATAAACGATGCTTATTTCGTTAATTACAGGAAATTAAAGTTAATTAATTAGGATCACAAAATAATTAGAGTTCTCTAGAAATAAACAAAGTCTACCGCCCCCAATGGAATATTTATGAAAAATGACGTCATTTTTGCTAATTAAAAGTGCTAATTTATAAGAATCTAAAACTAGTAAATCTTTCGTACAGCATTTTTTTATCAAATGTTTTTAATGTCTTATTATAAAATAATGCTTTAGCTCAATAAATCAACGATAAAATTAGCGTGGGAACGAAGGTCACATGGCAAATTGATCCCGCGAAACTTTGGTAATTTGCTTTCACTTCGATAAACAAGGTATAAAAAAGTCTCGCCTTATTTAAAGCACTAAAAATGTATATTTATTTATAATGTAAAAAGGCCTGAGGCCTATCACACTGAATAAAGTACCCATAGCCGACAGGCGCATGTTGAAAAACGGTTTGTGGAAAACAGAAGACGACGTAATTTCTGTTGCATGAATATTGAAGTTTTTTTGAAAATTTGTATCTTCGAGCGTTGGAAGACAACAACACTTTGTTTGACAACATTTGCATTATACTGAAGAGGAAGGTAGGGCACATTTGTTGGTATATGTTATATGAGAACACAACATTTGTAGTTACGATTGTATGACTTTAAATTTTTTGTTTAACTTTGATTGAATTTTATTATTTTATAATATGCCTAATTTACGATCAGCCACTTCTAGTAGCACTGATGAAGGGGCTACAGATAACCCTGTAGACAAAGGAGATAATACTTCTTCCCAGGGTATGGATAATCCCTTTAGTGAAATTCCTGAAGATGTTCCTAAGAATATGTGGATTGATTATCTTAAGATGAAGCTAGATAGGGAAACTCACATAAAACTAGAAGAAATTAGGGTAAAAGAAGAAGAAATTAGGTTAAATAAGAAAGAGAAATAGTGCTAAAAGAAGAAACAGAACGTTTACGTATAGAATCTAATCAACACGTATTAGACAATCACGGGCAGGCTTTGGGACAATTAGGAACGACAGACAATTACAAAGATAAGGTCCCACGACTTAAATACTCGGATGATATAGATATCTACCTACGAACCTTTGAACACATTGCGACAGTAAATGAATGGCCTAAACCTAAATGGGCAGCCAGATTGGCACCAGAGCTGACTGGGAAAGCCCGGGAAGCATACGCGGCAATGGACATTAATGACTGCCAAAATTATGACGAATTAAAGACAGGTATTTTAGATAGGTATGAGTACAACGAAGAGACTTACAGACAGAAATTCAGGAATTGTCGACATACTCCCAAAACGACGATTAAGCAATGGCTTAATGAAAGTAGGCACTATTTTGATAACTGGCTTAAATTTGCTGACGTTCAGAGTGACAATGCTGCAGGCATTATTGACCTGATCCTGAAGGAGCATACCCTAGAAAATGTTCCACGTGATTTGCGACTATACTTAAAAGACAGAAAACCTAAAACTGTTTTAGAGTTAGCCGAAATGGCCGACACGTTTGTAGCAAATAGGGGTGGGTCTGATTTTTGGACGGTTCGAAATTCATCCCAATCGCCAAAAATGTCATATTCCCAATCTACTTACGCTCCAAAACAATATGCTAATAAGTATGTTCCGAACAACCCTAATGAGAATTTAAAGAACAATCAAGGGAAACAACCACCTAAATGCTATAACTGTGATGGATTAGGACATTTTGCCAGAACTTGTAAGGCTAGGCCCCTAAATAAACCTAAGCATGGTCCCAACCCAAAGTCGGCATTTAAATGTGACCGACAGACAAGGCAAGTTGATCCAGCCCAACTTAAAATGCAGAAATCCCGTGGTCTTTTTTTCGAGGTTACTTTTGCAAACTAAAGAGGGGCTTCAATTCGAGATGGGCTTCTTCTGGAGATTAAGCCCATTGGGCTTCTATTCGAGGTTTTACGGTATATGGACAGGAACAAACAAGATATCTAAAGATTGAAGTTCCTTTAAAAAAAATATATCAACCCTGAAAAAGAATATCAACCCTGAAATAATTTACTTTAAATCATAAAAGGAATTGTAATTGCAAAAGCTAATTTACTTCTGGTTCAGGTCTGAACCCAGGCCCCTATTTAGGGGGGGGGGGGGGGTTCGGGGGGTTTGTCCGAACCCCCCGCGGGAGATGGAGTTCCGTGAAAATTAGGAAGATTTTTTCATTGCCGTTTTATTCTGTAGGTCTACAAAGGAGGGCTAAAACAAAAATAGTACATACATGTAGTTGGGATCGCAGGCCAACTATTTAAAATGAATCTTGGAGAATTTGATTGAGTTTACTAATAAAAGTTACTATTATGATAAAATCGAAAAAATTATGATAAACGATGCTTATTTCGTTAATTACAGGAAATTAAAGTTAATTAATTAGGATCACGAAATAATTAGAGTTCTCTAGAAATAAACAAAGTCTACCGCCCCCAAGGGAATAATTATGAAAAATGACGTCATTTTTGCTAATTAAAAGCGCCAGTTTATAAGAATCTAAAACTAGTAAATCTTTCGTACATCTTAATTTTTTTTATTAAATGTTTTTAATGTCTTATTATAAAATAATGCTTTATTTATATACTAGTGTTATGAATTTCAATTAAGAAAAGTTGAAAGAAATGAGGAGTGGTGGACAATGAAAGTTAAAAATTTACTGTTCATATGGTATAGTTATGTTTGGAATATTCGAAATGTCCATGATAAATATACTTTTATTCACGAATTCAATTAAGAGTAACTGATATAGAAACACAAAAATGTTATGAAATAATGAGATCACAATCAAAAGTATTATTCTTTATTTAAACAAAGTATTACAACAGATAATCATCTTTTAAATATCCACAATTTAAAATATAATAATGTTAACTAAGCTAAGGCTGGGCACTCTAGAACTTGAAATTGAAACTGGTCATTGGAGTAATACTCCACAACAAAACTGTATTTGTAAAATGTGCAACAATGACTTAGTGAAAGACGGGTTTCATTTCAACATTAGAAAAAAGTTTATTCCGCAATATTATTTCAATTATCCATCAATCAAGAAGTTGTATTTTTTAATGTCTAATATTAAGTTGACAATTATTCAACTGGCACAATATACTCATCTTGCTTTTAAGAAACGAAAACTTTGGGCGAGACTTTTTTATACCTTGTTTCGCGAACTTTTTTTAGAAAATTTTCAAGAGGAGGGCGGAAAAGAAATACAAATAAAATTATATTTATATTTATTTCAGGAATATATACTTCGTGATTACATCACATATTACATCTTTTTACTATATTAAAAAGTATGCAACTTTAAATTTCGGAAAAAGGGATTCCACGTAGTGGAGGACAGAATAAAAATAAATATCAATTTTTATTTTTATTTCTTTTTTCAATTTTTATGGCGGCTCGTACGCTAACACACTAAAATTTTATTTTTATGTTGAAATCCACAATTTCGGAATCGGAGGGTTCGCTAAACAAAGTATAAAAAAGTCTCCCCTTATTTAAAGCACTAAAAATTTATATTTATTTATACTGTAAAAGGGCCTGAGGCCTATCACACTGAATAAAGTCCCCATTTAGGGGAGATAAGAAGAAGTATGTGGGTTTTGATAAGGAGTTCCGCATAGTCCCAAGCCGAACCACCCCCCCCCCCTTGAAATTCCTAAATACGGGCCTGTAACCATGAAGATCCATTGAAATTGTTTGGTACCCGGTTCAATTTTACACACTGCTCTCCTTGTGTTTCACCTGGTGGACTGAAATGCAAAAAGCAAACGCACGTCTTTCGGTAGAGACGTTTTAACTTAGGCATATCAAGAAAAAACTAAAGTAAATTTTTTTTTTTTTAAATAGTGCAATGTTGGTACTGAAGCAAGATTTTCTGATTTGAGGATCACCGAAACAATCGATGTGAATATTGCTACAAAGCATTACTAAGTACCCCTTCTCTTTGTTCAACCTACTCCCCAATGAAAGGCAACACATCAGTCGAAAGCTTAGCTTTAAAATAACCTGATACCTATTTTATTCCTCCATGCTGTTGCATACTCATTCACTGCCTGCCATTGTTGATGTCCTTCAATTTGGTATCGAGGCTAAAGTAACCAATGTTGGGGACATACTAAAATGTATTGTTTAACTTTGTCGATTATACGCAATACAATACACTTACAGCTGCCGCTCTCTCACATTAATTGATAACGCCACCACCAACATTATGATAATGGTTCTATCGGATTCTTCTTATTATGACAAAAAATAAACAATAATTATCACTGGTAATCATTTCTTTTATTTAATTTTTATTAACGAATTGGGGAACCTATTTTTTTACACTCGCAGATTCCTCTTCATTAACTTGACAATTTATCTATATACATTTATAGCATTACCGCAAGACGATTTAGAGATTATCTCTATTATATCTATCGATAACGATAATGTCGAGACCCTTGTATTTAAAAAATTTGACCTTTACTATCATTGCTTTACTAGTTGTTAAGGGGATTATACTGTTCTTTTTTAAAGAGAACGGTTGAACATTATTTATTTACAAATTGATCAGCAACAGGGGTGGCGCCAGCGCCCCCCCCCCTCCCCTCCGTCGGGGAGATAAAGCACAATTCGCCGGGGAGAAAAAAATTATATGTATTTTTTATATATTAGTAGACTATAAAATCGATTAAATAAGCCTTTTAAACCCCTAAATTATCAAAATTTTCGGGGTCCACTTTCGAAACCTTTTAATCGAAGCTCGACCGCACCCACTTCGTCGGGAAAATCTGAACCCTAGTCGGCTCCCTTGTCGGGAAAATCGCCCCACCCCCACCACCCGTCGGGCAAATCCTGGCGCAACCCCTGATCAGCAATAGGAAATAATTATCATTGGCATGGCTACAAACAGCAATGTCGACGGCATATCGGCAAAATTTAAATATATAAAATTATTTGGCAGTTTTTTAAACATTTAGCACGCTTATAAGACAAGTATTTTATAATCATAATTACAACTAAAATAAACTTCTTACTTATGAGTTATATGTACAGTAAAATTGTATACGATATTGAGTGCATGCGACTGGATTAAGATTATTTATCAGGTCATTTCCTCGTGGTAACTTCATATTTATGTCCGCGTAGTAAAAAAAATACAGTCACCCTGACAATTGTCTCTGTAGCGCGCAGTAAGCCTGATAATGCGATATAAGATCATTTTTTTAAGTTATTGTTACAAAGTAACATGGTCGATTGGGACGTACCCATTTTTAACTTTCTCTTCATAATTAATTTTATCATCTATCTGATTCTTAGACTTATTGGCATTTCTTTTTCCCTCTCCCCCACCAAGTGAGTCAATAGATGTGACACCTTGTGTCTGACAACCCTCCTCTAGCAGTGTAAAGCCACCACTGGTCATGTTTAGTTTCACGTACGAATATTGTTGGGAGAATGAGTCTGACATTCGGTCTTCAGTGTGTGTTGGAACTCGCTTGACGTCAACTGCTTTGATCGCGTCTCCATTCTGGAAGGGGGCATGCTCATATGGTTCCTGTACAGCTGTGATATCGGGAACAGATGATAATTCAGGATGAGCCACTTGGTGGGAGACAGCTTGAAGATGTGTAGACTGTGGATGTCGTAATTCGTTGTACTGCTCCTCGTCTATTTTGGCCGGCGCGTACGTCTACAAGAAACGTATTTAAAAACATAAAACATGACATTTCAATTCGGGTTAATTGCTTAATTTAGATCGTTCACAATGGTTTGAATGTATAATTCAACAGAGCGAAAAGGTAAAATATTGCACCTTTAAATTTAACAATAACAGTTAAATATAAAAGTACAAACGCATGGGACTTTGGTATTTATGGTAGCGAAATATTTTCCACCATGTATACAGTAGGTCAGTGGCGTATCTAGGGGAGGGCGCAGGGAGCGCACGCCCCCCCCCCCCCCCCCCAAATTACTCATTAATAATTACTCTGCCGTGTGCGTTTTGGGCAACGCTGCCTCGAATAAGAGACAGTAAAATTACGTTAACACACGTTCACGACGTTATTCAGTCAGAAATTACGCTATAAATAAGTATTTATTTCTAAAAGAAGGTTTTGTACACTAAACTGTAACGTTATAATAATGTAAAATTGTTAGCTAGGAATGCAACAGTAAGCTTGTTAAATGCTTCTTACCAAATTCTCCCATTTACGGACATACGAGAGAACTTCAGAGCTCGTATTCAAGTCAAGATTGTAACACTTCCTCTTGGTTTGAACGACAAACAAAATTGACATAATGACGAGGGCCATTCCACCAATAACGCCGATTGAAACATAAAGCCACTGCGAAAATTCTACAAAAACAATTAAGCCTTCTTTTATATTTATTTATAAAAAATATTTAAAAAATGTACCGTATTTATTACTAGGTCTAATTCACAAAATGTTCCAATCAACAAAGCATGATTTTTAGATGGTCTTCAGTGGCGGATTCAAAGGGGCCCAGACCCATAACGTCTTGTACTGCTGAATTGCTAAACCATATTTATTACAGTATTGTTGGGGTTTTTTTTAATTGTTTTTGCCATTGTCGTCATTTGTCGTTGTCGCTCTCGTTATTACTGTTAATTATTGCTATCGACAGGAATTCCCCGACGAGGGGTCAAAGCTCCTCGACAAAGG